ACGGCTTAGGCCAGCCTGGCCACCTCGAGCCAAGTGGTTCCTTGTCTTTACTGCCACAAAACTGTAAAGGAAGCAATTTTAAAAACCAACTCAGTACACTCAACAACCCTGAGAAGAGACCTAACAGATAGCTACTGTCACATTTATTTAACAATATTAAGCTACATGAGAAAAGCAGGTTATAGGAGGGCTACGATAATTATGCCTTGCTAACTTTTTATATGAAGAACCATACAACATAAATAGGAAGAATCTATAACACTTTAATCTTGGACTTGGAAACTCTAGAACCCCAGGAAATAAATGTTTGCTATGTAAGCTCTCAGCTTATCTTCTTATTGAGGCCACCCAGATGGGTCAAGACAATCATACACCATGAAAACAGAAACACACAGAGAATGAAGGGGCACTTGGCACTGATGGAAATCTTCAACTGGCGTCCGTAGGTTGATCTTGCATTGGCAAGGACTTGTATTCACTTCTGCTTTTGAAAATAGCTCATGGAAAATGGAATAAAGTGTAAGCTGTAGAGGCGGGGGGGGGGGGGGGGGGGGGAGGACAGAAGGACAACTGTGTGTCTTATCCTTATCTTACACTTTACTCCATCAAAAGGGACACAAGCGTTGGTTTACTAGACTTAGAAGTCAAGTCAAGCACAAACGTTACAGTTTACAATCCTCCATCCTTCCGTCCCAAATCCACATAAGCCTCCTTCAGCAGAGCCCTTGGAGCACCTGGAAAGGATAGTGTGTACAACCTGAACAAAGATGGTCATGCTGGTTCTTCCCATCACCAAATCTAATTTTAAAATATCTGATTGGTTGATGGATTTATGTCAATGCTTGTAAGTACACCTCAACCTTCAAAGAATTAACATGAAAATGTGTCATGGCTTTCCCAAAGCTTGTTTATAAGGGCATTCATTAATTTATAGCTTAAGTGGTGAATTCCCAGTTAGCTCAGAGGTAGGGAGAAGCCTGTCTAAATCATGCTGATACTGGGTATCTCTACATACCCCTGTTTGTGGTCCACAAAAACTGTCAGGAAAGGAAGGAGTCTTAAAAACTGACTCAAATCTTTGAGAAGAGACCTAAACAGATACGGGCAAATTTATTTAACAATATTTGGTACCATAAAGTCTTGAGTGATTTTTAGCTAGTGATGCTAAACACAGGAAGTGTTTCATAAGATCAGTTATCTGAGAAAGAGCAATTCAAGATACATATAAATGTCTACAGTTGAAAAGCAAATGCATGTTTCTAAATATATTTATATATTTGCATAAATGTTTAATGGATATATAAAAAACCTTAATAATGCATCTGTTGAGACAGAAAAAAGAGTTACAGCCTGACGAGATTCAGAGATCTTGTACTATACACATCATCAATTTTAATTTTTAAAGTAAATACCAGATTCATTAAAATATATCTCCCATTACGGAGTGGCTACAATGAATAGTCTTCCTTATAAGCCTCACTTAATTTATATTTCTTATATATTTATATTAAATTACATTTATATTTTAATGCAAACATGTTTCTTTTCTTTTAATCTTTTACTTTCTATTTCAATTATAATTTTTATTGTTTAACATTTCAAACATGCAAACAATGAAGTGCAATATCACCCACCCAATTCCCCTCTAACTTGCTCATAACCCAATACAGTCCCTTCCCAACTTTATGTCCATATTTTTGACAACTCTAAAGTCCAATTAGTGCTACCCATAAGACATTTATTTTCAATGACAACAAAAAGCCAGTAATCTAAAGTGCAGAGAATTGGTTCCCACGTGTAAAACTAGCTGGAGTTAGTAACTCTGAATTTCCCACATTTCACACTTATTTATTTATTTATTTTTATTTTTATGTTGTTGTTGTTGTTGTTTTAGACAGGGTTTCTCTGTGTAGCTTTGGAGCCTGTCCTGGAACTTTCTTTGCAGACCAAGCTGGCCTTGAACTCACAGAGGTCTGCCTGACTCTGCCTCCCAAGTGCTGGGAATAAAGGTGTGCGCCACCACCGTCTGGCTTCACACTTATTCAGAACAGAGCATTATTCTACTTTTTCTTCAACACACACAGGCATAGACACACAGACACACAGACACAGACACAGACACACACACACACACATACACACACCAGAAGCAGACCATAGTTGTTTGGCCTGCTTTTCAAGGAAGTGCACAGGACAAACACGGATGTAACTGAGCACTTTCTAGAATCAGAATGTTGCTCTTCATCCGCATGCTCCAACAATGAACTAACTAACTTTCTCTAGAGGGGGAGGAAGAGACGAAGGACTAAAAGAGAAACATCAGAAAACATATTTTAAACATGAGAGGAAACGTCAATCCTATCCACATATTAATTCCTATTTTTCTCCACTTTAAACATTTTGTAGGAAGCAGTTTTATGATGGATTTGTCATGGATTTTAAAATTTCATTCTAAAAGAGGTTAGCTTTGGTTTAGATCAGTGCTCCTTAAGTTCCAAATCTGTCTCAGAACATCAGTTGCCTCCATCTTGCTGTATAATAACCTAGGTTGGTCTTGAATTTGTGATCCTCCTGCCTCCGTCCCTGGAGTGCCAAGATTACAGGCCAGCACCACCCATCCCAGCTACCTATTTTTCTACAGCATCATCTTTTCAACACATTATACTATATGCATCCTTAATAACGTAACAAACAAAATCACAGCTCACAACTGGACGATAACAGGAACTAACTTAGATTGATGCTGGGCGTAGCAATGGCTTGCACCACAAAAGAAATAATTGATAAGCTGGATATAACAATGGCATGATACCCATGAAAGAAATAATTGGTAAGTTGGATTTCACTGAAAAACTTGTACTTTGCAAAAGACACTGTGGAGAAAATTAGAATATAAACTGTGGAGGAGGAAAAAATTCTTGAAGATACACATATGATAAGGGATCATTATCCAAAAAATGTCTTAAGACAACTGATCACCAGATTTGAAAATAGGGCACAGAGCTGACAAACATGAGAATAGATGCACCACATCTTGGTGGGGGTTAAGATTAAAAATCACAGTGAGGCCGGGCAGTGGTGGCGCACGCCTTTTATCCCAGCACTCGGGAGGCAGAGCCAGGCGGATCTCTGTGAGTTCGAGGCCAGCCTGGGCTACAGAGTGAGATCCAGGACAGGCTCAAAGTTACACAGAGAAACCCTGTCTCGAAAAACCAAAAAAAAAAAAAAAAATCACAGTGAGATACCACTCTATACCTACTACAATGTCCGAAGTCCAGGAATACTGACATGCCAAATGCAGGTAAGACCGAGCAACAATGGCTCCTCATTTGCTGATGGTGGAGATCCGGGGTGGAGGAGATGGCATAGCAGGTCAAAGTGTCTGCTGTGCAAGTCTGATGACCAGAGGTCAATTTCAGACGCAGAGCTGTGCATCTGCACCTCCATCCCTCGGATGGGGGATGGGGGATGGGAGAATGGCCCAGTGCCTCTCAGGCCAGCTAGACTGGAGTAAGCTGTGGACATGGTAAAAAACGTGAAGAGAGACCCAGCTCCAGCAGGTAGAAAGCAAGAACTGACCTCCGACCTCCACATACACACTTGTCCATACTCACACGTGTATCAGACACACATACACACACACACACATACACACACACACACACAGACTAGAACAAAATGCACTCTGACCACACAACTCAACAATCCCATTCTTGTTAACTAAGAGCTGAAATGGTGCATCTACCGAAAGTCCACCCTGCTCGTTTAGAGAGGCTCCAGTACCAACTGTCCAAGATTGGAAGCAACAGAGATGTCATGTCCTTCTGCAGGTAAATGGGGAATTGGTCTACAGAGACAATGGGATATTATCCAGCACCAAAAATAAATGTAATGTTGAACCAAAGACACACAAAGCAATCTTAAACACATATTACTGGCTAGAAGAAAATTAAAAAACCCAAAGACCACAAGCAAATGTTCATTACTCCTTTTAAGAGTTGCCGTTTAGCTATAAAAATTTGAAGGCTAAGAAATACAAAGTAGGTAAGCACTAGGAATACCAAAAGGTAACTTCTCAAACGTAAATTCCGATAGAAACCACACTTAAACGCTTACAGTCGTCAACTTGGATGTCTGTGAGTTGGCAATGTTATTAAATTCCCAAGAAATGTTTTAAATGAAACTTCATTCCTAACAAATGTTCTTTTGCTCCAACTAGGGAAGAGGCAGTTTTGGGACTATTTCCAAGTTCTTGAAAGATTTATATCATCCACAGTTTTCACAATGTATTTCAAAAAACATAACAAAATAGTTCTGTGCTTTAAAATTGGCTTATTTTGTGACCTAAATTTCATAGTACATGAAAGGGAATGAAAACCCGCACTGAAAAAGTAGGTGGGGAAGGTTCCTACAGATCCACCTGGAATCACGTTAATTAAAAAATTCTAGACATTCCAAGCATATCTCTACACTTGTCGGGCCAAAGCCTTTTCTGTATAAAGGATTCTGATCTTTTCTTCCGGAGGGGAGCGTGGGGGGGGGGGAGGAGAAGAGAATCAAAGGCTTAAAAAAAAGGAAATACGTATTATGCAAATAAATATTTAGCACACTTTGCGTGTGCTATGGTCACCAAAAGCTTTTCAGTGTGAGCGAACCGCCGTCCCGGGGAACCATGATTCAGGACTTCTGTTTCTCCCACCCCGGAATAGAAACACCTGGCCTGGAAGCGGTCACCCCGCGTCCCTGGAGTCTCAGGCGAACCCTAGAGCCCTTGGCAGCTGAGCGAAGGGCAGCGTCGCCAGCCAGTGCGGAAAGTGCCCCGGGTGCGCGCCCCGCGGTAACCCACGCAGGCTAGCTCTGGGGCCCGCGATCTGCAGGATCCAGTCACTAATCCGAGGGGTCCTCCAGGACCAAGTCACCTCATAGCCCCGGGAAGCGTCGGGTACTCAGCCCCATCCACCTGCACCTCGCCCCCGGAGCACCCCGCGCGCGGCCCGCACCTGCGCCCCCAAGCGTGCCCTCACCGGCGCCGGGGCGGCTGCTGCAGCCGCCTGTGCCCCGCGCAGCCCGTCCTCCTCCTCGGGGGGCTCGTCCAGAAGCACCCGGTTCCGGCTCAGCTTCCACATCTCGGGGGTTCGACCGCTCGGCGCAGCGTCGCTCCGGGACTGGGGGAGGACGCTCGGCCCGCGGCTCCGGGACGGTGCGGAGGACTGGGCGGGGAGGGGCGGTCAGCTGCGGGCGGCCGTCCCCTCCCCGCCCCCAGGCCCGCCCCCAGACCCTCCTCCAGCCCTTCTGCCGGCTCGACTCCCTCAAGTCCCCTGTCCCCTAGCCCTCCTCCACCCTGACGCTCAGCCCGTGTCCCCTCAGTCTCTGACCTCCCCTACCTCCCCAGGACCGCCCCAACCTCCTTAAGGAGGTCCCCTCGGGTAATCCAGCCAGCCGAGTCCTTTACCCAGGGACCACGAACCCGGGTGCACCAAAAGCATGTGACATGTCACACCCGTGGCCCTGGGACCCCCGACCCTCCGCTCACTCAGCCCGATGGGCGTGGTCCATCCCGGATCACCAAGGCAACGCTGAGGTGGGGCCGCGCAATACGCATGCTCGCCCCGTTTCTGCTCCGGGGGCCGAGGGCGGGGTTTCGCAGACTGCAGGCTAAGGGACGCCGGTCTGAGCTGCTTCTCAAAGTCTATGAAATATTAATGGATATGGGCCACTGGAAGAGGGGAGGCACCTGGGGAGGGGAAGGGGTACTAGGGAAAGAGAACGGTTCCTGGATTGGCAACGGTCACTTTCCACTGCTATGGGGCCTGCCCTGGGCCTACACTGATGGGGTGACGGACCGATGTTGACCAAAGGAGAAAAGAGTCAACCAGAGTTCAGGGAAGGGTCCAGGGGCCCAGAAGAGACGAGGTCGGAGAGTTGGCTGTGCCAGCTGGACCTGGTCCTCACCCTTGATTTCCAGGGTGCCACTCAGGCAACTCCAGCCTGAGTTCAGATCCCCAGCAGAAAACAATAAAATAAAATAGAAATAAAAATTCTGGGCATGGTGGCACAACGGGGTAGGCAGAAGAGAGGCAAATGCCCAGAGCTGGTGTACAGTCAGTGTAGCCAATCGGTGTGTTCTGGGCCAAGAGATCGTATCTTTAAAAAATAAAGTGGAAGTAAGGGCGGTGTAGGAACGTGCCTTTAATCCCAGCACTTTGGAGACAGAGGCAGGTGGATCTCTGTGAGTTCAAGGCCAGCCTGGTTTACAGAGCGAGTTCCAGGACATTAGGGCTACACAGAGAAACCCTGTCTCGAACCCCACTCCCCCCAAAAAAAGTGGAAAGCGATGATGACACTAATTTGATTTCGGCCTCACAAACACTCGCATGTGCGCTTATACTTACACTCAGTCGTACACTATACGCACATAACAAATAAACTATCCACAAGTGTGTGTTTTTGTGAAAAGACAAGTACTGTGGGTAAACTAAGAAATTCCTTCCTCATGCTCTCCAAGTGTTCAAGAAGTCAAGGACTTTTTCACGTCACCTCAGGCCTGGCTTGCCCAGGACAATTCGGGGCTCGCAGCAACAAAGAGCAAGTAGTCACAAGGTACTTTCAAATAAATACAGCAAACAAGGAAAACACAATGCCACGGTCCACACAGCCTGTTTACAGATGCAGCACGGGCTTCCCCTGAGGCTACATCTGTCAGGAACAGGACTGTTACAGTAAGTTAAAGTACACCGAAATTTCCCAGAGAACTGAAGGCCAGGCTTAGTACCCGAAATGCTAAATTCTAAACACTTTAAACATCACTAAACTCCTTTTGTGGAAGAGTACCACGGGTTAGGAACAGAGAGACGGGGGAGACACAGAAGTAGAGATGGTTGGCTCTGTGAAGGACTTCTCTGAGGTTCCACGAACTTGATGTGGGTCATTCGTTCTCTCGTCTTGGGGCCATCCTGTTGTCAAAGTTTGTAAGAGGATTATTATACAGCATCATGAAAACAATCTTTACACATGCAAATTCATTTTGGGATTCAGAATGATCTTGGCTAACCAATCTTTTCCTGAACATTCAGTTGGAGGAAGCTTTTTGTTGTGAATTTTTGACTGAATTGCCTTTATTGAATGAAATAGAATTCACTGGGGTCAAAATTCGTTTTACTTAACTGAATATCAGTTGTGTTGCCTCACTCTGAATTCAAAAGGTACAAGACTCCACTTACTGAGATATTAATGAATTGGTACAACACAGCCCTTGCTCCAAAGACAGTAAGAATTTCTGCTGAGGCAGATGAGTGGACATGGCTCGGAATACAGATTCATGTTTCCTTGACTGACATGCTGCACCGTGGAAGAAATGACACAAACTTTCAAAGTCACAAAGAAAAGAAATCATAAGTCATTCAGGTTTTTTAAAACGATATTGGTGGAGTATGAGGTAAGGTACCACATGCCCGGGATGAGTCTTCTAAAAGTCTGAGGTGTTGACCTTGCTAGCTTAGGGTTGAAGGAGGAGGCTACAGGTCTGCTAAGCTCAATGATACATCCGAGAATGTTCCTAGTCCCATAAATGTTAGGTCAGCTACAAAAGGAAAATGATTATTAAAAAGACTACAATAACCCAAGATAAAGTCGGTTCTCAACCCGCCACGCTCCCTCTTTCCACAGTCATGACACTCTAGAAAGTCAAGGTCAGCAGCTGCAGGATCTTTAATCTGGAGACAGCGTCTTCGGAGAACTAGGGTTCAAAGCTAGGAGGATTCAGCCATCACCAACAGGACATGAGCAGTTATTGGGAAGCACAGAGGTCCTTTCCCTCCGAGGTAACCTGAGCGTGATTCCTCTGCTCCCTACAGAATCTCCCGTAGACCAGCATGACCACAGAAGTGCAGTCACCGAGGCCATTAGCCGGCCTCCCCTTTCAGCAAGCGCCGAGGGCTGCCGGCCAGTGAGGGGTCCCCGCTTTATTCTTCACAGCACTGACTCCCAGCAGTCTGAAAGCAGCGTGGAAGAGTCCCCCACATCCTTTGAAGGCCTCCTCCCCCAGCAAGCCAGGGCCAGTGGCTTCCTCCTTGAACTCAGACTCCCTTCATGTCCCCAGACCAGCCAAAGGCCAAGGCCTTTTCATTATTTCCCATTTCCTCCTCAGGAAATTATATGATTATAATAAAATACCAAGAAGAATAGTAACTACATTTGCCCTTCCTTAGCAGATGCTATTTTTAAAGCACTTTTGTGCCTGGTGTCTTATATGAATCATTTTTCAAATCTTCACTATCAAGGGTAATATTTATTCCTTTTTAAAAAAATCATAATCATTTGAAAAGTGTAAAAAATTACTCATGGCACTTGTTAAAACAGTGAGGCGGCTGTATTCGGGGGGGGGGGGGGGGGCGGTCTCACAGAGGGAAAGTGTGCGTCCAACCCAATACAGTGAGAACAAACAGGGATTTAGATACAAAGAGCCTGCATGTGCTCACGTGTGCATGCATACGTGTAAAAGTCACTAAGAGGAGACGTAGGGGTGGGAGTGGGTGGGATGACATTCCAGCTAAACAGACCTTATAGGATTCTTGCTGAAGGCGGGGAAGGGGAGAAGACACTACCTGGGGGGTTGTAAAGAATGAGGAAATAGATCGGGTGTCCAGAATGAGGCTTCTGGATAAACAGAATCGACAGGATTCTTGGCTTCAGTGCTGAAGATGGAACCCAGCACCTGCATATAATAAACGCAGACTCTTATCTCTGAGCTGCATCCCAAATTACACTCCCCACCCCAACATACAAATTTTGAAACAGGATTCTTGCTAATATGGGACCCTAAAAGGCTGGAGGGTGAAGCTCAGGGTTTGACCTATTGAAGCAAAGAGTTCAGAGATGCTGGCTGGAGTTTGGCAAGGTAGAATCCACCATCCAAGGTTCCTTCCGAATGTATTTCCCATCAGGCCACTTTTATTTATTAAGGACCAGCTAAACATTCCTTGGGATTGGTGTCTGGGATATTATCTGGGATTTGTCAGTGACCAGGCATTTAATGAAAGGCATTTCCAGGAATGTAAAAAAAAAAAAAAAATCGCAATTAGTGGTTGTCAAGCATTATCTGAGTCCATAGGACATCTGAGACTGGGTTTGCATGCCCCGGAGGTGGATACGAGGGTAGTCTAAAGGGAGCTTACTATGCTTACCTGGTATGCTTATATCCAGGCCCCGCCTCTGCTTACGACTCTGGGAAAATGGCAGCTTTCACACAGTCACCAAGTTAGGAGGGAGTAAAGTAGGAGAAGGTTTGGAGTGCTACAGCGGATGTGGGAAGAAGTGGGGGAAACTGAGGCTCCACGCTGCAGAGCGCCACAGTTCTCCACGGAAACAAAATCTTTCCATACAGTCTCCTTGTTGGTCAAATATAAACCAAGCCGCTGCACTGTGGGACTTGGACCACTGTCCTTGCACAGCCTCAGTTACTTCCACTCAGAAAATAAATCCGTCCTCCTTCGATTTCCACTAATCATTTACACAGTGCGGTACCTGGGGCTGTGTAGGCTGTTATAACAAAGCGTCTTCGGCCGAGTGGCCTAAAGGAGTACTTTTTTTTTTTTCTCACAGTTCTGGAGATTGCAGATTCCCTGGTCACAGAAAGTCTGCTGCCTCCTCTCTGTGTTCTTAGTGGGAAAGAGCAGGCGGTTCTCTGGTGCTCCCATCTCAGGGCACCAACGCCATTATGAGGCTCTGGCCCATGACTGAAGGCTGCATGCACATTCCTCACACCATTTCCTCGAAGATTAGAACTTCAACTTATAAATTTCAGGAGAACACAAACATGCAGACCGTAGCAAGAGAAGTAATTTATCAGAAAGTTGCTTTAAATTTGCTTGTGGGAACCCCACTTCCCATCCCTATCTATCTAGGGAATCTCAGATTCGTCTTTTGAAAAGCTACCTGGGACTACAAAAATGAAGAGTTCAGCACCAGACTTTGCCTTTAGCACAAGTAACTTGGATGGATTCCTGTTTTATCACCAGGTCCCAAGGACTCTGAAGTTTCCTCAACCTGCCAGCAAGTGAGAGCTATACGCAAGGCTGAGAGCCTACCACTTAGACCAGCAGAAGCATTCACTCTATAATGTCAGTTGAGCTGCAAAAGTGACAGTCTACTCACACTGGCCTCGTTCCTACAGCCATTCCAGTCAAAGCCTTGAGAATACAACCAGTGTTTCTAATTATGTCCTTTTTCAAGAGATTCCCACGGCATTCAAGCAAGCCGCTGTATTGATAGGAGAAGAATGCTCCGGAATTGCTCAGTTTTGGAGGGACCAGGAAGAGAGAAAAGACCAATGTTTTGTTTCTTTTTACAATAGTGTAGCAGCTTAACAGAAATCATCAAAGAGCTCTCAGCTTTGCAGACAAAACCAGAACCTTCCTGTTTCTGTTGGTCCCTTGGTGTGGTCTTATGAAGGTTCATTTTGGGTGTCAACTTGACTGAGTGGGGGACTCCAGGGAGCTGGAG